CACGCGCGGAGCGGCGCCTCGACGGCGCGGTGCGTCGCCTCCGAGAGCGCGTAGGCGGCGCCGCAGGCGCCGAGGCGCCAGGGCCAGGTCTCGCGCCCCGTCCAGCGGAGCCAGACGAGCGGCGGCCAGTGCCAGAGGTAGAGCGCGTAGCTCAGCCGGCCGACGTAGACGGCCGGCCGCGCCGCGAGCGCGCCGTTGAGCGGCGCGGCGCCGCGGCCGCCGCCCGCGGCGAGGAAGGCCATGGCGCCCGCGACGGGGAGCAGGGCCCAGGGCAGGGGGAAGCGCGCGTCGGCCTCCGTGACGCCGAGGCCGAGGCCAAGGCCGAGGACCGCGGCGGCCTGGAGCCTGCGTGGAAATCGACCGCCGGTTCGGGACGTCCCGACCGACCTTTCAAATGCTCTCGCTCGGTCACATCGAAGTCGATTCGGCTGAGTTTTGGACGAAGCGATTGCGCTCGTCGAGCTCTCGAAGCAGAGCCGAAGCGCTCGCGTCGAAACGTTCGAATACGCTCACGTTGAAGTCGGGTCGAAGATTTGATGTCCGCACGGCCCGGAGCGCCGCCGCGCCGCACGCGCCGTCGAGGCGGTCGAGCGCGCCGCGCCGCCGCAGCTCGAAGACCAGCGCGCCCGCGGCGAGCTCCCAGTAGCGCGCGGGCAGCAGGTAGAAGGCGAGGTCCGGCGCCGCGGCCGTGAGGTACCAGCAGAGCGCGAGCGACGCAACCGCGGGGCCCGCGAGGACGGCGAGCGCGGCGCCGTCGCCGCGCGCGCCCGCGCCCGCGACGACGCGGCGCCCGTAGGCGGCGGCGACGACCATCGGGATCACGACGCTGAACTGCTCCTCGACGTCGAGGGACCACGTGTGCATGAACGGGTTCGACCGGAGGTCCGTCGCGCGCGACGCGGCGCGGCCGCCGCAGGCCGCGGGCCGCGCGTCGACGCGCGCGAAGTAGCCCTTGCCGCCGCCGTCGTCGTCGCCGCCGCCGCCGCCGCCGCCGCCGGCGGCGAGCGCCGTCGCGTAGTAGACGTTGCTGAAGCCGACGAGCCCGACCTGTGTGGAAATCAAATCTTCAACCCGACTTCAATGTGCGCGTATTCGAATGTTTTGACACGAGCACTTCCGCCGTGCTTCGAGAACTCGCTGAGAGCAATCGATTCGTCCAAAAATCAGCCGAATCGACTTCGATTTGGCCGAGCTAGAGAATTCTGAAGTTTGGCCCCGACGTCCCAGCTCACTGGTTGATTTCCACACAGAGCCCGACCATCGCGGAGCGGTAGTACGCGGCGCTCGCGCGGCCGTCGCCGCGCGGCGCCGCCGCGGCGACGAGCAGCCCCGACGCCCAGACGGCGACGAGCAGCGTCGGGAAGAGGCGCTGGAGCCGCCGCGCGTAGAACGCCGCGTAGTACGCGCCGAGGCTCTCGCCTGCGCGGACGCCGGATCGCCGACCCGACGCGCGCGTCCGCCGCGCGTCGAGCAATTCGTCCAAACATCGGCCGCGGCGACGTCGACGCGACCGAGCGAGAGCACCTCGAGCTCGGCGCGGGCCGTCGCCCCGCCGCCGGAGCAGCGACGCGACGACGACGTAGCCCGAGACGACGAAGAAGACGTCGACGCCCGCGAAGCCCGCCGGGTACGCCGCCTCGTCGACGTGGTAGGCGACGACGGCGCAGACGGCGACGGCGCGCAGGCCGTCGATGTCCGCGCGGTAGTGGCCCGGCGCCGGCGGCGCGCCGAGGGCCGCCTTCGCGTCAACGTCCGCCTTCGAGTCCGCCGCCTGCGTCGGCGCCGCGCCGAGGCCGCCGTCGCGCCACGGTTGCACCCACGGTTGCATCACGGGCGTACCAGCTTCTGGGCTGGGCAATCCTCGAGGAGCATAGCCGACGAAAAATGGGGCAGCTCTCGTGCACTGCAACCAGGACTGCAACGTTAGTCGGCGCGGCCGCGCGAGGCGCGAGGAAGGGGCGGCGCGCGCTCTGGTTCCAGGGGTTATCCGCCGCTCGCGAGCGGTGGATCTGCTGCGGGCGGCGCGCTCTGCGCGCAGGCCTGCAGCGGTGTAGCTGCGCACAGCTAGCAGGTGTAGCGCGGTGGCTCACAGC